AAATCATATACTATTTTTTGGTACTAAGGGCAGGTAAGTATATTAGCTAGTAAGTTAAATGCATCACTGGCCAATTTATAAGTATTGTTATTTATTCCAAGAATATTTTGATTACTAAATATGTTTCTGTACAATAAGTAATAAATTTATTAATATAACATTCAAAATTAATTAAAAATAGCTCTAAAAAAGCATATATATATATATATATAATATTATAATAATGCAACGAGTTAATACACAAATAGGTGACTATGCAAACAAAGCAGCATTTATAAAGATACCTCATTAATCTGTATAAAAACATTTATTAAAATATTTCATAACCTTACTTTAAGAGAATTAATTAATGCCAGATTATTCAGGGTTATGTCATTATAATAATTCTTTATCTCTGAAAAAGCTTTTTCGTGACTTCTAATCAATGAGTTTATTTGGAGGTTTTTGCGTTCTTCAGTTTCATGAAGCTCCATCTTTTTCCTTAGCTCAAGATCATCATTGATTTTTTTAATTTTAGCTGCATGTTTGGTCTCTATTTCTTCCAATTCCCTTTCAAAATCTAGACGAGTTTTTAGAAGCTAGAGTCAAACTTTAAAATGCTAAAAAATATCACCTTTTCCTCATATTCTCTCACAGTGTTTCTGATACTTTCTTCACCCGATATTTGTTTGTCCTTATTTTCAAGTTTAAGAACGCGTTTATCGTATTTTAATTGAGCTTCTTTTTCACCATGTTCTTCTTGTGCAATTTTAATAGCAACAACCGATTCAGCTTTAAGTTCAGCAATGTTATTTTGGTGTTCATATAATAGATGCTTAACCTTTTGTTTATACACCTTGAGCTCTAATTGGTGGCGCTCTTCGGCTTCCTCGATTTCTCTACTTTTATTTCTTAGCTCCGAAGATCTTTCCTCCAATTGCCGTTTGCTTATTTCCCAAAATATGTTCACTTTATCTCTTTCAAGTTGAAAGTAATTTCTTTCTTCCCTTTCACGTTCTAATTCCTCTCTTAACCTCATAATATGTTCTTCCAGCTGTTCTTTTGACATTTCCTTAGTAGATACTCCATCTATAACGGTTGGCGTTTTTGAACCAGCAGAGCTTTTTCCTTTTTTTCCGCTTTTTTTCTTTTTGGGTGGCTATAACATTAAATCAAATTAAATTAATTCCATATACCATCACGAAATATAAACTTGACGCGGAGTCCAGTCACAATAACAACCGTAATATTTATTCATTTAAACGCTATATTTAGATAAATTCTATTTCATTATAATTTTAAGACATTGCTTTGACATTTAATTAATTGAAGTACAAATATTTGAAAAGAAGGATTTATAATACATTTTTTAGCGTTTCCTACATTTCAGGATAGTGGC